AAGGCAGCCGGTCAGCAGGCACGGTGACGGCGGTACGGCCGGGATGGCTGTTCGGCAGGGACGGCTGTTGGGCAGAGCCGGGAGCCGCACGACCACGTGCCGCCGGGTGCACCCAGCTGGCACGAGGGGTGGGCAGAGCGAGCCTGCGGCACCGCTTCCCCAGCGACTCCGCTTGCAGTCAGCTGTGAGACAGCCTGTTTGCTTCACGCTTAAAGACAGTAAAGAGGATAAAACGAGATCTGTTTGTTCAAAACACCAGGACTGTTTAGCAACCCAGACCTCCCGCTCGCTCCAACCGCTTGCCTGACGTACTGAGCTCACGGCCCGCGTCCCCGGTGCCTGCGCGCAGCCCTCCGCAGTGCTGGTGGCTGGCGGTGTGCTTGGATTGCAGCTTCGGGTGTTGCTGCAGGGGTTTCTTGCTCCAGTTTCTTCTCTCTACAGTAGGCATGCCAAAGCGATACTTCTGCACAAACCCAATCGAGGGGCATCGATTAGAGGAGGGAGGAAAATCATGTTGGGGAGAAAAAAAGCTGCAATTGCAACTGTTCAGATAAAATTTAAAAAAGCAAACCAACCCCAAAAAACCAAACCGAAACACAAAACCATCATTGGAAATATGAAAAATAAACCTCTGGCTTCTTGAACAGATGGCAAACTCTGCTGAGTTTGTGTAGCCTACATCGCTCTCTCCTGTCTCCTCCCGTCTGCCCAGGACGTGTGTTGCCATAAGGCTGTCTCTTAAAAAGACCAGCTCTTTTCAAATGATTCAAACCAGCCCACTGTTTGCTACCAGAAGAAAGCACATCTGAGGATGGGGCAAGGGCATACGTGAAAGGCGGCTGGGGTCTCATTTCAGCCTCGAGGCGAATGCGATGAATCCCCGCTCCATGGGGCCTGGACGTTTCTCCCTGCGATGGTTTCCTGGTGCAGAATCCGCAGGGCCACGGCTTACAACGAGCTGCTTCGGCCGGTAACCCGACAGATGCCGGCAAAATAACAAGTGGCCGCGGTCCCAGCAGGCATCCCGGACCGGTCACCCCCCCTCAGGCCGCTCAACCTCAACTGCAAGTCATGAGGCTCTGTGCAAAATGCAGTAACATAAACAACGGGTTTGCCAGCCTCTTCAAGACTTTCAAAATCGGATCAAAACCCCACCAGCCCCAAATATTTACATGTTGTCACTATGGTGATGAAGAAAAATACATCCTGAGCTGCAGGAAGTAGGCTGCGTTTTCCAGGCAGAAATGGGAGGCAGGGGAAGGATGGAGGCCATCACAAATGTGATTTTTTTTTAAAATGTGGAGCAAATGGCCTGGGAAAGTTGGTGTTGGAGCCGCAGGGGGTGATGCTCGCGGGGCAGTCCCCCAGGGTGAGCGCGGGGGGCAGTTTGGACAGCCCCAAAGAGCCCAAGGGAGCCCAGGAGCAGCAGGAGGGTCCCCCCAAAACGGCGCAGGATCCCCTAGCAGCACCCACTGCCCAGAGCTGTTGGGCAAGAAGGAGGAGGCAGGAGCAGGGCTGGGCGCGGGAGGGGGGTCTCGGCCAGCCCTTCTGCTGCGGGGTGCTCCCACCAGCTCTGCCCACGCACGCTCCCTGCACCTTCCTAACGCCTCCAGGAACTGGTGTCAGTACCAGCGGGTTCAGCACGTTCAAGCTCCCCATTCACAGCGTGACTCAGAGAAATGCCAAACCCAACAGGCTTCCCTGCAGAAAGACCTAGATTTTTCATTTTTACTTAAGCCTTTGGCAGCTATTTCCAGATATCCTCACATGTTTCGCAGTTAAATGCCAACAGCGACGCGATAGAAGTCGGGATGCTGCTGGAGGCTGGCTTGCTACGTGCTGTCAAAACCTGAGATGTCGCTAGCTGCAACAGCGACGTGTGGGGCAGGGAGAAGGTGTCTAGGTATGTAGGTGCCGAAAAGAAAGGTGGAGGCTGGATTCAGGAGAGATGAAACAGCTCTATTGGAAATCCCTCCCCAGCTCAATTTCTGCTAAAATGCTGGAAGCCTACTGTAGGGGGTGATTGAACAGGTGCCAGTGATCTACCAGGTGGCATAAAGTGTGGCCCCCTGAAGCGTGTTGGAGCTCTTGGGAAGTTGTGTTTGTGTAGAAGGGTCGTTTGGCTAATTGCTGGGGCAGGCTCGCCCAGAAAGGCGGCAATGGCTGTACCCCCGCCATAGCCGAGCTTTCCACGGGCCCAGAGGTATTCACTGTCGGGCTGATACCAACCATCATATTTCTGGTAGGAAATACTTCACGTATTTTATCACTCATGCTTTCATGAAATTTGGCGCATGTATGAGCACTATACACACAACATCGTACTTCTGTATCCCTATAGTCATATATGAGTATACACACACACACATATATACATACTCCTAACGTGGGCATCTGCATCCTCAGTGAGTCAGAGCGCCAAAAAGCAGTTTCTGGATATTGTGCTTGGGATCAGTCACAGAGATGAGCATGCATGGGTTTAGCGCTGTCCCAGACCTCGTTGAGGGAACCCTTGGCCATCCACCCAAGTGAACGTGAAGGTCCATCTTCCACAACGTCCTCCAAAGTCACCCTGTACCCGTGGCTGCTGGGTGCCCACAGCCCTGGTCCATCCCGGCTCCCAAGCCGGCACAGGAGGCAAGTCTTCTGCTCCCCGAGGGACCCCAATCCCTGCCGTGGGGCAAGGCAACCCCACGCTGCAGCCAGGGTCCCTGGGCACCATGCACTGCCTCTGTGCCTTCCCGGCACCCACCGCCCACCACAGGACATGTGGAGGAGGACTCCCTGCAGCTGCATCCCTCGGATTAACGCCGAGGGATGGTCTGGCTCTGTGTTTTGTGGTTACTTCAGTGACCCGGAGCCTCACACCTCACTGGCCATGGTGTGAATCCCCCGGCACACTGAGGCAGGGCTCTGCTGGTGGTGCCCAGTCCCAGCCTTGGGGGCTGCCAAAGCCTGCGAGGCAGCAGCAGGAGCTGCCCGCTGCCCCTGGGGGCTGAGGATGTCCCAGGGCTCGCCCAGGCTCCCCCCAGCACTTGGGGTCACTCCCTGGAGGGTGCCCAGTGCTGCGGTCAAAAGGGCTGGAGTGAGGTCAGGAGGGGGGAACGGCTCCTCGTACCTGTGAGCAGCGGGTTTCCAGTCTGGCGTTCTCCGTGTGATTTCCACTGGAGATCTTCATGTGGGGAAGATGCAGGGCACTGGTGTGCACTGAGGAACTGGTTGTGTTAACCCATATTCTTGTACCACTCAGTAATCCACATATAAACATGTATTTCTGCTACTATCTCGACGGACTACTCATTTTGTCTCTTTGCACTGAAGGTGCAGTGTTTCCTTACCCTCTACAGGGCACTCCCAAAACTTGTGCCCAAAAGCCCTGGCAAGACCAAAGGCCTCTGAGAGCTTCTGCTCCAACAGATGTGGTGGTTTCTCAGGAAACTGAAATGGGAATAAAAACATCACCCTGGGAGGCTGGTCCAGAGGAAACTCCCCAGCCCCAGCACAAGCACCCCCAGCCCCACTGCCACCTCGGGCTTCGGCTCGCAGGGTGGGCTCATGCTCCAGTAGGGGCCGTGGCCTGAGCAGGAACCAGCCCTGCTCACGCCCGTCATGCTGCCTTCGGGCAGCAGCTCTGCACTCGCAGGGTTTGGGCCCAGGGATGGGTTGAGGTCTGAGCCAAAACGTGTTCCCCTCCGGAGCTCTGGGCAGGAAAACTTTTGCAGCGAGGACATGCTCCTTTATGTTCCCCCCTTCCAAGGCTGTCAAGGGGGCCTCATGCTCACCCCAGCCCCTCGGGAAGGATGGGTGGTCCCTGTGCTGAGCTCACTGTCGGGCACAGCATGGACCCCAAAGCCCAGCATCCCCCAGGCTTGCGGTGCCAAGGCAATCTGAAGGATATAGTGGCCATTTCACCTTTCCGTAATTTAAAACAACCTCTGAGTAAAGCCATTTCTAAAATGGCTTTTTAGAGTAACCTTGGCCAACGAATTGGATTCTCCATGTGTTTTCTTTGGTTCACACAATAGCATTTTAGAAGGGACTAATGCAAACATTTTTATTTAGAATGTATTCATCATTATTTAAATATTAATACAGTTTTTGCAATAGTTATCGAGTTCCCAGTACCAGGGGAAAATAAAACATAGCCACATGCTTGGCTACGTTAAGAGCTCTAGCAAGCCTCTCCATCTCTCATACCACATGCAGGGTGGTACGTGTCAGTACAGTTGAGTGAATACAAAATACAGCAAATGTTAAAAGAGATGTTTCTCTGTGGGCCTGCAAGTACCTACTGGAGAACCACAGCCTTCTCCTGTCATGTCAAAATCCACTGTGAGAACTGTTGTCTGGACTGGGATGCAGAGCGAGGAATACATGGTTGTCAGAGCAGCAACATCCAACTAAGGAAAGCCCAAGGGCTGGGGAGCGTGTGCTACCTGGTACTGCAGCCCAAGACAGCAAGCCCTGCACCTACTTCTTGTGCCTCCAACTCCAGGTCAGTGTCAGTCCCAAAGCCCCAAAGTGAAGGTCATGTCTAACTGCAGTGATTAAAAAGTAAGCTGCCTTCTGGTAAAGTCCAGGAACAGTAATGAGACTGACACATTCCTCCTACCATCTTCAGGAAAAAAATGAGTCATGCTAATACTGAAATACAAACTTATATAAATAACATCCAAAAAAAACCCCAAACCCCAACATTTTCAAGCACTCACAAGCAAGGCCTTTCCTCCCCAGCTGTTGTGGTCCTGTTCCCTCACAAACTGCTCCAGCCGAGCCAGGGCAGGCAAATCTGAATCCATATGGCACTCCCAGAGTCAGTAATACACACCTGTCAGTCTGGGAGAGACGGAACATGTTTCTGTTCTGCTCAGCTACAGTGTTTAACCTGGGAGCATGAAGGACACAATTAATAAATGAAATAATGAACCTCCCCCAAAATAATAGCTCTGTACAGCCCTAGGAAAGATCCTTGGCCACCATAAACTAGATGCTACAGAGGGAGAAGCAGCCAGAGGGGAGAGCTTCCCTGCGATTGTGGCTGTGATCATCGAGGGAGGCTGTTTGTCTAAAAAGTTTTGGTCTCCCTTCAAGAAAGAGTAGGAGCTTTTCCTATGCCTGATTATTGTAACGCAGCACAGCCTTAGTTCTGAGCAAATACTACTGGAAGCCTAGAGATTTGGGAGCTGTATGAACAGCTAAGGACCAGAGCAAGTCCTTTTCATCTAAGCTTTTGCTGATTAGAAAGGGGAGATCAGAGTCCCCAATGCTTCCCTTGGCTTCCTCTTTCCCCTGCTCCTTGCCAGGTGTCACGCTGCAGGTCTGGTCCCTTGGTGGGCAGTGCTGGTGCTCCCCACCGCCCTCCTGGACTTGCAGGGCTCACCAGAAACACAGCGGACATTTAATGATTGCACCCAGCTTTCACGTCAGACACAGACTCCAGGGCTCCTACGCCGATGGAGTCAGAGGAGGGTTTGCTACACAAACTGAGCTTGGCTTGGGTTACAGATGCTGGCTGTTGCATGACATGGGATACAACTGGGACATTAGACAGCTATTGGAGACAGCTCTGTTGCTTCATGCCAATGAATGCTTTTGCTGCCGTATATTCTTGTGAGAGCCCAGCTCGCTCCTGCCTTGCTGCAGGTTCAGGCGCACTGAGAGATGATATTGGAGTTGCAGTCTAAGGTGTGAGTGTGGCTTCTTTTGCAGTTTTCAGGCCCGCAGACAGCACTAGGTGGGTTGACCAAGTCCAGGTAGTAGTGGGACTTGAGGAAACGGCGGTAAGAATCCTTTTCCATGAGGGTGAATATTTTTCTCTGAGCCTCATCAAAGCAGGACAGTGTAGGCTCCAGCATATTGTGGCTTGTCTTCTCCCGTGTGCATGAATCCAGGTTCACCTGTGGGCCAAAGGGACAGTGCAAGTAGAATCTGTCCTAGAATTGGCTAGCATAGGTAAGGGAAAATCCAAGCATCACTCCACCAAGTGTGCTTCAGCTGTCCTTCGTGGGCAGTGGTCTGAAATGGCTGTTTGACACCCTGTAGCCTTGGCAGAACCTGTGCAGTTGAATACCAACGCATCTCTGCTGCCAGACAAACTGTCAGGGGACACTGACACATACCCCTCTGGGATGCAGCCAGCCAGGAAGCACAGGAGCAGCTGGAACACTGGGAATCATAGTCCCCTTGGGCTTCTCCCATTTGAGTGTGCACATGGGATGGCCAGGCAGTGGTAACTAAACCCACTTTCTCTCTATCCAAGTTTAATACACAAGCAATAAAAATGACACCATTTCCTTGCTAACTAGCAGGGAAGCAGCACCCTTCAACTCTTGTGAAACTACCAATCTCTACTTCCCTGCGCTGCTGGCCTGGTTCAGAATTTAGAGTGATACCTTTGCCCAAGATATGTTCTGTGCACATACCTCTTTTGTTGCCTGCACTGAGATGAACTCATCATAGATCTTTCTGGCCTTGGGGCTGAGCTTGGCTGGTGACTTGGTTTTCTTGTAGTCCTCACAACTGACCCAAAACTCGATGTTTTCCTCACTGTACTCAGATTTGAGAAAAGCACGGAAAGCAGCCAGTCCCCCTACAGATTGTTTAGAGGAAAACCAGATCAGGCAAAAGTGTTGGTTCCTGGATAGTCGTACCTGTGGGCCCCAGCGAACAACAATTCTGGGTTCTCCTTCCCAGAGCTGAATGAGCAGCTCCCTTGGGGCCAGCAGTGGGGATGGCTGCCTGCCTCCACGGCTGTCACTTGTGCATGCCGAGGGAGGCTGGAATTCAGGCAGGCCCCATGGGGATGTCACACGTGGGTCCTCAGCTGCCTGTTCCCCCACTGTGACCTTCAGTGTCTCAGCCAGGAGAACACAATCAACTCCCCGGTTCCCAGGAGGCCCCAAGGAGACAGCCAACACACGCCACAGAGTCTCAGGCCATGGGAACAGTGCAAAGGAAACCTCAAGGACATCAGTGTAGCCTGGAAGCAACGGGAAGACAAAGTCTGCCATGCGCTCAGCTACAAACAGTTTCTCTGCTTTCTGGCTCTTGTTTAACCCACTGTTAACTGCGTGCTGCAGTTTTGCCCATCCCCTCGCACAGAGGCTAAACCAGCTGCCTTCACAAAAGGGACAGCTCAGCAGTAGGTCAAAGCCCCACTCATGATACATTGGGATTGCCCCGTGGATCTGACCAAGGGGACCCTTCACCACCCCTCCCAGAGGCCGGTATGGCCAAAGGACCGTCTGTGTGCTGCTAAGAGACATAAGATAAAGTCCTGTGGCCCCTCCAGGGACTGCTCACAGCACACACACTCGGCAGGCAGCAGAAGGGCCCTCTTTACTTACTGTCATGATGGATCAAGTTTTCCAAAGAGTCTGCCCACTTTCTGACTTCCTCTTGGCTAACCCTAAAAGGAGACAAAGGGAGAAACACAGGGAAGATTTAAGGGGAGTACAGAAAGGACAA